GCGTTAGCATGGTTAGGTTCGTTTACATTACTACTATTAAGACTGTGCCAGAACCAGTTATAGATGGAAGAGACAAGCGACTCCATGCATCCGGCCTAATAATCTTAGAAAGCAATGGAGCAATCATAATTTCAGTTAATCTTGTTGAAAATTAGCTATATACGATAGTAAAATATAATTTTAAAATATAATTTGGTTTATATTAATAATTTCAACAAAATACAATAGTATAGGATCATGACAGCCAATTAAATAGCGATTGAGATTCTCGCGTTAAGAAGGGAGAATTCAGATACTAGCCCAAATAAGAGTAAATGCTGATATTTCTATTCCCATATTATTCCCAAGCGTTTATAACCATACTATTAATCAAAGGAGCTAACACAATCAGAAATAATGAGCGCTGATCATTTGCTTACTTTTATTACTTGGTAAATTGTTCGAAAGTCTATAATTTCTACTCATTTGTTATCTATAGTAATGTATAACTGATTACTTGATTCCATTTCTATTTGGATAAACAGCTCACTCTATTACGAATTAAACATCTTATCTTCTAGAAAAGAAATTACTTTAAAATTGGAACTAAAATCATTAAAATTTTTCTCTTCTAGAAATATTTCGGAAAATTATAAAATATGATCTTTAAAACAATTATTCAAAACTGAAAAATGAATCTTTTTATTTCGCGATTCGTTATCTTTGATCGACGCAGGCATAACGGGATCAAACTGAGTAATTGATGCCTTTTTTAGTCAAAACTGACACTCAAATGCAAAAAAAACCAATTTAATCTCGTAATAAATATTTTTCAATCCTTTTCACCCAAAGTAATTCCCGATCCTGAGTAAGGAATTTGTGGAATCAAAAGAAAGCCATTCCACTATAAAAGCGGCATCTCGGCTGATAACTAATATTTAAGCTTTGTTTAAGGATCAGCATATGAAAATCGTATTCGTATTAGAAATATCGGTTATGGCAATTTTTTTAAAGATTATATCTATAATGATATCCATAATGGTCAAGATAATCGACTCATCAGATCAATTTTTTTGAGCTTTTCGAAAGCTGTTTACCATATTTCATACTTTATAAATTATATTTAAGCAAATATTCCAATTAAAAGCAGTAAGAAATTTATAACAGAAAATTTTGCATTTTCATTGAGTAAACCCTTGTTTATCTTACTTTATGTGCGAATGAATATGTCTGAAAACTTTTCTTTTATCAATGTTTTTTTTTATTTTCATTCATCTTTCGCCTTTGGCAATTTTTGTCATTTAGCATTCAGTGAAATTTAAATAGGAGTTATTAAATTTTTTTTGTTCAGCCAAAATTTTTGATAGTCAGCTATTTTTAAAAGAATTTTGGGACTTTTCTGAGTTTTTAGTTTGGAATGTATTAAATTTACATTGATCGTGAGTCTCCGTTTTATAAAGCTTTCTTTTTCAAGTTCTTTGACTAACGTTATTGCTGATTAAGTAGAAATATGTGCTATTTTCTATGCCCTTTGGAAATCTTTTTTAACTAGTATCAAATTAAATAAAGATAGTATTATTAATAAATAAAAATATAGTATTATAGCTAATTAAGATTAATGTATTTGACACTCTATTTAGCCTAACTTATATGTTTGACAATAAAAGTACCACAATGCAATAAAATCCTTTATTGAGCTAATCTTTATAATTAATTAACAAATTTTAACTTTTTCCTAATTTTCTATCATTTTCCATATTTTTTTAATTAAAACATTCTGCTATTTATATATTTTATTATATAGTTATTATGAAAAGAGGAAAGTCGAGCGATTACCGCTCAAGTCATTGTTCGAGCTCTGCCTCCGATAAAAGCAGATCTTTCAGAGATTCATTGTGCTAAAGGTGACAGAGAGAGCCTAACCGAAATGGTAAGCGCTACTTACTTATTTATCTAATCAATTATTTTCTTTTTAGATAAATAAACCAAAAACGTTGAAAACGATGGAGTTTTCTGAAAAAATTCGAAATTCACATAAGGATAAGCATGAGGATCCTTACTAAAATTTTTTCTGGCATGCTCTTTGGTTATTCGCTCATTTTGTTGTAGTCTTTCGCTCTTAGGCATTTTTTTTCTATCTTAATTCCTTATTGAGAGTTTTATGAAAAACGAATGCAAAATTTATATGAACTTAATCCAGCCAAACTATAATTTTTTGAATTATAAGTATTAGAGGATCCCATATCTCTTTTTGCGAAATTTCTTGATGATTTTCAAATTTTTGCAAAGTAGAAAAAGCATAAAATAAATTTCAACTAATTATTAAAATATTCGCGAAATAGACTAAAATAAATTGGAATGTAATGGACCTCTCCGTGGATTATATCATTATTTATTTAGTTATATTTTAGTGAATTTCAGTGCCATTTCCTTCTAAGCGCTCATCTATACAGCCTGTCAAATTTAAAATTTAAGTTTCAGTTTGAATATTTTTTATTACTATTAAATTTTATTGCCTAAATATCTTTAATTTAATTTTTTTGCGATAACATATATCGCTGTTTAGCGTATCCAGTTGTTCAAAACAGTTTGCAATGATAATTTTTATCAATTGTGCTTAAGAGAATTTCAGATATGTCGTCCAGAGAAAATTTGGCTAATGAAACTTTCTCTTCTGAAATTTGTGGAGATGTAAGAAAATTTTATTATTTCAAAAGGTCAAAATCTTTGACCTTTTTCATTACTAAATTATAATTTTCTATTAGGAAAATTATCTTGTGGAGTTTGCCGAATTAGAAGTGAGCAAGCTTCTAGAAAATTATTACTGTACGTTAAGCTCTTTATTGAGTTAAGAAAAGCAGATTTCTAGATGCAAACTGATTAAATGACTGATTAAATTAGCCATGAATTTGCTTTCAACCCAAATGGTTCAAACCTTACTCGCATTATTAGACGAAAATTGTTTTTATGTTATTTTTGGGTCAAATAAAAAAGGCGCCGTATTTGAGAAACCATTGAAAAGCTTTTTTTCAAGGATTATTTCTTATTCAACTTTTCTGAAAGCTTAAAACACTTAAAGAAAAAAAATGAACAATTTTTGCTTTATTGAGAGTTAAAAATTGCAATCCTGTTGGATTAACCAGTTAAAAATCAATTCTCCTTAACTAAATGGGAACCATCTCATGAAGACGAGAATCAATGACATCCTTTTTTTGGTAAATGAGATGGAACTTATGAAAATTTTAGCAATAAATTGAAAGAGAATGCACACAAAATTCTAATTTGACGAACTGATAATTCAACTAAAATTAATACTTCTAAGAATTTTCTTTAATTATCTTTAATTGATTCCATGGTGATTTTTTAAAAATTCAATTAAAAGTTGATCTTTTTTTTTATTATGCACTTTCAAAAAATTTTTTCACAGAATTTTAATGAAATTTCAAAGTTGTATTTAAATATTGAATTTTCAGGAAAAAATCCAAAATTTTTTGAAAAATTTAAACTAAAATTGTTTTAGTTTGAAAAATATACGTTAGCACGATTTGTATTTCTTACGATTGCTTCATCGATTGCTTTACTTGGAACGCTTGGAAATTTATTGTTGATCTATATATTTTCAATGCGAAAATATCCAAATACACCACCTACACTATATCCGACAGGTTTGTTTGAGAAAATTTCGAAATCCTCTATAGATTCGCACCAAATTTTTTGCTTAAAATGCAGCTCTCTTTAACTGTGGAATAATCGAATAAATCGGTTTATTCAGTGAGTTATTTGGCAGAAAAATTAAATTTGCAATTTTTGGGATTTTCATTTCGAATTATTTAGGCATCTATTTAATTATTTTCGTCATTCATCCCTGCATAATTTCGAGGCGATTATAAGTAAACTTAGCGTTTTTATTTTTAACGTCCTAAAGCAATAGTCTAGTGAAATTGAACAATAAAAGGTCATAAATTTCAGTATTGGCAGTTCTCGATGCATTAATTTGCTTTCTTTATATATTGTTGTTCGGTGCTGACGCAGCTGTTGTTTTTCTTCATGTTCGAGTGAGTGAAGCATATTTTATACTCGAAAAATTTCTTAAATTATGTAGAGAAACCTAATTCCGGGTCGTTGAAGTGTCATCAGACAGGAAAAGATAGACCATCATTCATTCTTTGACAAATCTCGAAGTTTCTAATCAATAAAGATGAATTAATTAAAGGAATAAAAGCAATATAAACAATAAATAATTCAGAGCTTATTCATCCTCTACCACATATACATAGTACCTGCTTATGTTGTTAGTCGAATAACGCAACTAGCTATTCCTTATATGCTCATTTTCGCAACACTTGAACGATTGGTGTGGATATCAGGCAAATTGAAGAATTTGATTTTGAAACGAATGTATAGTATGAAAGGTCGTCAACTAACTGTGATCATATCATTGACTTCTTGCGCAATTTTACGTCTGCCAACAGTTTTTGCTGTCGTGGTAAGCTAGATATTGACAGAATAACTGAACTCCAACACATTTCCTGATTTTTCATCATTAGTCTTGATAATATATCACTGGTAAAAATAAAAACAGGAATAAACAGGAATTTGTAATTTATATATTAGACGAAAAAAGGTGACATTTGCTGTATTTCCTCTTTCCATTTATCAAAACTAAATTTTCAGGTGCATCACTTTCCAAATTGTAGTGATTTTTTCCGAAGTGAAAGTACTGGTCCTGCAGATTGGGTTTTAGAAAGTAGTGCTTATCATTTCTTCGATTTTCATTTACTGTCAATTGCACAAACATTTATTCCATTTTTTGTGCTCGTAATTTTTAATGCGGTGAGTTTTTTAATCCGTTTTTTCAGTCATAACTGAAAGCTATTTCAAAATATTTCCACAATTTTTCATGAATAAGATTTTCATTTGCTCCTAAAAAACTTACATTTAGTCAAAATTTTCTTTTTAAATAATTTGTTGTTTAAATAAGGTGCGAAAGACATATGCAAAAACTTGGGGAAGGCTAATTTAAGCAACCTCATCCAACGTTTTTTTGGACAAGCGAATTTGGATTTCATTTTGTCTAGTCAAACGCGAGTTACAACATCATGTGAGAAACGGTTTCAGTGCACCACATCAACTAGCTTTCCATTGAATACTTCCGATAGTTAAAAAAAATTTCTTTATCTTACAGGTGATTATTCAGAAGCTCACAATGAATCGCAATGAACCTGAAAGTAAAACTCAACGTCGAGGAGGTAGAGGATTTCGCACAATGTCGATGAATTTATTGCGAGGAGGTAATTTTTAATTGTTTTAAAGGTTTTTCAAAATTTTGATTGCTTGATGAACAAAAAACATCTTTGATGGCTAATCGAAGCACATGTTTCATCAATAATTTTTTAATTTATTATGGTTCTCTTGTTGAATGTGCAATTGACTTTAGCAACTTAGTTTATTCTAAATGCATCTCTAAACATTTCTTTATTGATTCATCGTTGTCGCAAATTGGAAAAAAAATGGCAGAACCATATTTCGTGCTGCTTTAGTTCAGGATAATTTATGGCTGATCTTAAAATTGGTCATTCTTGAAATCTTCTAAACTTAAAAAGCCTAGCATTTCAGCATCGAATGTTAGTTTAGCAGCCTCATTAAAGAAGAAAGCAGTTCGAAATGCTATATACACAATGTTGGCCATAGCAACAAGTTATTTAATGAGCAATACGCTTCATTTGATCCTAACCATACTTGAAAGGTTTGTTCCAGTACCAAATGCATGTATGAAATTTTTCCACACGTCAGCAAATCATTCGTAGTTCTTTTAATATCTTGTTTTACTAAGAGAAAAGTATAACACTTCATTAAGAAAGAAAAAATTAGCATATGCAGCTAAAAATTATCGAAATTTGTTCCGTTATCACCTTTCTCAACTTCTATTTTTCCATGTTTTTGCATAATTTTCAGATATTTATACCATAATATATCCTATTGCTCGAAGAATGCATTGCTCAATTGAGCAAAAGGCATTTTTCGTTATTTTCTTCTTGTGCCAGCAACATCATTCTTTCACTATTTTTCAGATATTTCTTTTACCTATTATCTTAAAACTTTGCGTCTGTTTGTTTTAGATAGCATGAGCATTCGTCTTCAAAATTTTTTTGAATTTTACAGGTCTAAAACATCTATATTGCGTGATCCAGTTGATCCAAACCTTGCTTCATCATTTCATACAGCTTTTTCTGATACAGTCAGTTTTGTGTATATGTTCACAAGCGCTATTCGAATTGTTATTTATTACGTTTGTAATCCAGCAGTACGAGAAGATCTCCAACAAATGCTGCATCGAAGCTCAAAAACAAATAGATCCGTTGACAATTTATGACTTATACATTTTGTTAATATTTTATACTATTTTTTTGAAACTTCTTTGACCGCCATTTGGATTTGCATTTGTACAGTTTCGCTTTGTTTATTCTCTAGATTTTACTCAAACATTTCCCAGAATCTTTTCTTTATTTGCCATTCGTTTTGGTTCATTCAATTCGTGATTATTGTAATCCACGGATGACTCACCTGAAATCATTTTTTGTAAAATTCGTGTTCGATGGTTAATTCAGTGTTAAATATATATCGACTTATATGAAATATTACATTATACACTTTTTTATTTTTTCAAATTTATTTATCAAGTCAATACAGGAAGAACATCCAAGTAGACCTTAGGAAGCTTTACTTTTTACTGTGGCACCATTAATTTTTTTTCACTCAATATGATCAAATTCTTGGCAAATTTGTCCAATTGTGCAATTTACAATATAACTAATTCTTCAGCCTAAGCATATAATAGATTTGATTGTAATAATATTAAGCATAGCGTGAATAATCAAAATAATATTTAAAAAATGTGTGAAAAAAATGAAAAATTAGCGAAGCCATAAAAGGATTTTAAAAAATTATAGTTAGTTGAAATAAGTTTTATTTTAGCGTTTTAGCTTCAGTTTTCTTTTTTGATCAATTTTCAAAGGAACTAAAAAGAGAAATGAATTCAAAGTTTTCAGTTGTTAATCTCTTTGCTAAGCAAACGAAATCATCGAGAAAATCAACGAAATGCATCGAAAAGAAAACAAGTGCATATAATAAGAGAAAGAAGAAAAAGTACATTAAGGAAAAACAAATGAAACTGAATATAACACGAATAAAAAAAATTATTTATTTATGAAATATAGACATGGACTTGCATGATGCTAATTTTTATACCTTGGAAATTTCTGAATCAACAGCCAGCGGATCTAGTCTTACCAAAAATGGATGTGAGCTAAGCACTTAATTGCTTCTTCTAATAGCTCGCATCACTGGTTTCCTTCATTTCCGACACGTTTCCAAATCTCCCGACGACATTTCCGAAAGTAAATGAAGCTATTCCTTTTTCTATCATCAAAAGCTGTATATCGTTATCGTTGAGCCGTCTATGCATTCAACATTTTCGCATTAATTAGGCGAGATGAGTGTTAATTAGCAACAGCTGAAGAGTGGCTATTTCCTTCTATCTTTCTTTTAGTTTAGGTTTATCTATTTATTTGTGATGTCTTTCGTTTTGCATGATAGATGAGCACATTGTTGCTATTTTGTTGTTATTTCAAATAAAAAAGTTAATAACCCTGGTTCGAGGCTTGCACAACGAATTACTTTTTTAATAGAAAAGAAAATTACAAAATATCTTTGAGATTTTTTGTTACATGGGGTGAGTTAAGTGGGAACTAAGGGAATACAAAATACAAAATCACATGAACGGCATATTTCAGATTATATATTTTTGTTTCTCCTTCATATATTACAATTCGATATATTACAATTTTTTCCTGAAAATATCGATATAATCAAGATGAAAATTAAAGTGACGTAGAAAAAAATCGACGGTGCGTCATTAATTTGAACGGCACATAACCGCAGCAGTATAAAATGGAAAATGAAGCTTAGGCCTAGGGCTGGGGTAATATGCAAGCAGAAAAGGTTCGACTTATTCGTCAAACTGATGAATGAATTAGGAGAACAGTGGTCGAGTTAAGAAATGCAAATCGCTAAAGGAAAATCAGACCAAAGGAAATTTTTGGAAGAAATAGATATTAATTTAGAAGTATTTCAACAGGTTTGCGATATTCAAGCAACGATTATAGAAATAGAGTCAAAGCAATAAAATAAAGATGCAATAAAAACGAAATCTAATTCTACCATAGTGGAATTAAACAGAGATATCTCATTTACCACCGATATCGCTGTGTGAATTTAATGGAGATCCCACTAAATGAGAGCAATTCATTTCATCGTTCAAAATAAAGTGAACTAACTGAAGATCCTAAACATGCAAAAATTTAGACCAAATTAAAGGGAAACCTGATCGTTTCACATTATGCAGTGACTGAGAACTACACAATAACATTAAAAGCGCTAGAGAGACAATATAGTTAAAAAGAAGGTCGACAACATCTTTTCTTGGGCAAATCAAAGAATATCCATTAATCAGTATCATGCAAAGAATGAGAAAAAGGACAAAGGGGATAGCTGCACATCGTAACTAGCTGTATAATCCGAAGAACAAATAAAAAGAATAATACAACACTACTAGAGCGAAGATACGAAATCTTGAAGATGAGACTGCCAGAGATTTAACGACCATGTTATTCGACACAGGACCGTAATCCTCTTATATTTCAGACGCATTGGTCGAGAAAGCTAAGCTAAATCAGCAAAGAAATACCTTTGGTAGTTATCATTCAATATCACAGTAAAACGATGATAGCCAATTTCGTTACACGAATCATACGAACCTTTACTAGGGAATAAGGCCGATGAGGGATGAGGGAGACTAATTGAAAATGGAATCAAAAAACTTTTTTGAGCCACTCACCAATCAATTTTTTGATCACCTTCAGCGATAAACTTCTCAATAATCAAATGCATTTTGCATAATTTTCATCGCTGTAAGCTTTTCGTGCCAAATCGGATTTTCATTTCCTTCCGCATTCAAGATTACTTCCGCTATTAACCGTTTTGAAGTTTCTTAATGTAAAAGCCGACGAAATTCTTTTTTTAAGAAATTATCGGAAATTTCCAACTGTTATCTCAAATGGTTGCAGTAAATTATAGTTTGATATATTGATAGATTTCTGGTACTAAGCTTAAGGATCGAGAAATAAAATTGACAAGAATTTAGGAAGATTTGGTGAGATATTCAAACATGACCAAAAAGCCTTTACAAATCAGGGTCTTCACTATAAGCCAACTGATTCAGTTACTACACAGAGCAGTGTTAAGCGGGAAGAAATATGAGAATATGAGAAGGGTTTCACTCACACAAAAGCGAAATAGGGATGTTCTTAGAAGGTTCAAGGATGCTAAACTCAAAAATTATGGCAACGACGGCGATGGTTAATATCATAGCTAAGAATAACAAATCTTAAGCAACCCTGGTATCTGGATCGGATGGGATTGAAACACCGTCAAATATGACTCTAAATACATTCTGCAAAGGTTCTCAGAGAAGCCTGGAAAATGGACGAAAGTGGAGCCACCATGGAGGATAAATCAAGCAAGATTACCAAACAACATCACGAAAAAACGCTTGAAACCGACAGTCTCTCCGCAGTCGCCCAAAAGGATTCAGAAGAACGATAATTTGATTAAACAACAACATCGAGAGCAACATCATCGAGGAAATAAAATTATTACCAGAGACTATCGACAAGGTATCGTATTGACCAGATCACACCATGCAAAACAAGATAATTACCAGTACGAAAGACACTAGGAATATTACTGAAGAATCAAAAATTCTTTTAAACATGGTAACAGTTGGAGTAGAAAAGGCTTACTGCCAACATTATGAAGTTCCCAGTAATATCTGCGTAATGGCGGCAGGGAATACCAAAGAAGCCCTACAAAATTATAAAAGATAAAGGGATTGTCTGGAAGATGAACATTCAAACGTTCATCAGTAATGACCAGCAATTCAACATTGGCAATTGATGCGACCTGAATCAATTAACTAAATTATTAGGAATTGGCTGGAAACTCGACAAAGAAAGAAGTATTCAAATATCTAACGTAAACCTGAATTGATTACAATCACTGATTACAAGAGAGGGCTACTACAATTCGTAGTTTTAGGATCGTTTGTGCTATATAGGTCTGTATTGTCACCACTAAAACTGTCGGAAATAACGGAAAATAAAAAAAGTAATACGGTAAGTATTCATAAAAAAAGAGAATTCATAAAACATTTTAAAAATTCAAAAAAAAACAGAGTTTTTAACAAAGCTTTCCGCATCATAAATCACACAGAATTGTTTTACTTTTTTCATTGTTCACGCATCTGTTAGCTAATTTGTAAACCCATCTTATTTGCATATCAAAAAAACTATGAGAAAATTTCTTCCTGAATAAAAATAAACTAATTTTTATCTATCAATAAGCCCAACCCAGATGGGCACTGTGTGGCTCCCAACCGGGATTGTTTTATTTTCGATAAACTAACGACTGGTTTCCGCCTATATTCGCATTATTTTAATAACCATTCGGCGCCAATATTCCTCTTTTTTTTATTAACTACTCGCCTTAACCACATTTGCTTTTAATTTGAATCTATTAAATAGTCATTTTTATTTATTATCGTAAATTGTATTTTTTATCCACTGTTGCAAGTGCACATTCTTTTGCGACAGAAATAAAATTTATATCTATTCTGGAAAAATGGCGTAAATCCATCGAAAGTAGAATTCAATCAACGATTAATGGAATTTTGGAAACATGGGAATTTCAAGTGATCTCATTTGTTCTACTAATTCCGTTTAAAGCATGACTTTATGGTATGCATCACTGAACATATGCGGCAAGCTTGCATATAGGATATCAAGTATAAACCAACACAACGGAAAGCAGATTTTTGTTTACTAAATTGTGAACTGATTAATGTCAATTAAAAGAATGGCCATTCCAAAAGCAGAATTGGTGACAGTGGTAATAGGGACTAGAATAGTAAATAATATCCAGAAGCAAGTGGTCACAAATGAAACAAGAGTTTTTATCTTATAAGAAAGCCGAGTGGTATTTTATTGGTTCTCAACAGAAAAAGATGACCACAAATCAAGATTTGTACTTACTGTACTTGCTGATATAGCAATATGACTTTTCTTTGACGAACTACAAGAAATAACAAGTGATGGCACGGACCTAGATGGTCCTCATGAGAATAGGAGTGGCCCGTACAATTACAAATGATCCGTAAAATTTAAGAGGAAAAAATTATTAAATTATCAATTATCAATAAAATTATCAATTATCAATTATTATCAATAAACGAACGAAGCAATCTTAATTGTCGTTGTG